ATACCAACCACCCCACCACCACCACCACCTTACCATCACCATCACCACTTCCATTGTCCCACCACCACCATAACCACTACCACCATCGCCCACCACCCCACCAACACCGCTGCCGCACCCTACCATCATCACCACCGTTGTCGCACCTTACCACCACCCTTACTATCCAACCATCACCCCTACGATCCCCATGACCATCACAACTACCACCATCATCGCCAACCCACCACCGCCACCCCACCATCACCACTGCCCCCACCTCCACCCTCCTCCCCACCCTCACTGCCCCACCGCCACCACATCCACCACCACCACCATCACCACCCACCACCAAGATCTGCCATTGTAGTCCATGGCCACCACCTACCACCATCGTTATCTTATTGTTATATTTATTACCATTATCACCATCATACCACAATCACCGTCGCCTACCGCTAGCACCCATCGTCGCCCACCATCGCCACCAGCCACTGTCACCTATCCCACCACACCTACCAGGCTACCACCACCACCTATCATCCCCCATCACTACCTCTTACCCCCACCACACTTACTACCTCCGTCATTCGCCACCACCCATCACACTATCACCTAGAAGTACCTATCGTCAGCCACCACTACTATCATTGCTGCCTACAACTGCCGTCATCATCCCACTACCATCACTGCCAACTACTATCACTATCGTCCATCACCACCCACACCTATCATCACCGTTGTCACCCATGACTGCCACTACCATCATCGTCACTCAAAACTCACCATCACCATCACCGTTGCCACCCACGGCTGCTACCACCATCACGGTCCTCGCCTTACCCACTCCTACCATCATCATCTCCCATCATCACCACTGTTGCTCACCACTNACGGCTGCTACCACCATCACGGTCCTCGCCTTACCCACTCCTACCATCATCATCTCTCATCATCACCACTGTTGCCCACCACCACTACCACCGCTCACCCCCACTATAATCAGTGCTTAAATTTCTTTATCTTTCCTCTATATTTGTGATTTGATTTTAAGTGTGAATACATATATGTTGACCATTTTTTTTATTATTCTGTGCCTTCAGACACGAGGAATAACTAGTATAAACATATAAGAGTTGTGTAGGGATTGAACATATTTTAACATAATATAACTCAAGCACAAATTTAACACAACTCAATCCATTATCAGCAAGAGACATAGCGGTGGCAATTTTTAAAAAATATAAGGGTCAATTACATCCATCACCCTGATATTTGTCTAAATACTAAGATGTAACAACCTAGAAATATTTTACAGTCTAATTTGGCTACTGAAATACATACCTCATTGCTTAATTTCAGATAGTGGAGATAACCCAACTACCAAGCCATGCAATCCAACAATCCTGACAGTGAAATAATATAGCCACTAGGGCAACACAATACAACTACTTAGACAATGNGCTTAATTTCAGATAGTGGAGATAACCCAACTACCAAGCCATGCAATCCAACAATCCTGACAGTGAAATAATATAGCCACTAGGGCAACACAATACAGCTACTTAGACAATGTATTTTTCGTTGTTCAATTAGGCTGGTAAAATAACCCATACCATAAAACCACCACAACCTGGATAATGAAATATGTGTTTCAGTGTCTAATTTAAGTAGTGAAATACATATTTTACTGTCCAAAGATAGAAAGTGAAATAATTAGTTAGCAAACTATCGTAATTAGGGATGGTAATCACATCGTATCGGACGTGTTTGTGTTGTGTTATTTATGGGTTTGTGTTGAACACTAGTCAATCCTAACTCAACTCATTTAACAAATCGTGTTGTGTCGATTTGACTTATTTATTTTCCTGTTATACTCATGTTGACTCATGTTACCCCATGAATAAAAGATTTAACGTTGCAATTTAAGTCTAAAATTTCTTTTTCACTTAAATGAATGCATGCTTATACTTTTTCTATAAACTAAAAATTAATTTAAAAAATATAATAATAAAAATGAGTACAAACATCTTTTTTTGTACAAGAACTATGTGAATACTTGATAAAAATAACAAAAAAAATTGACATTTTATTCCAATAATGCTAGTTAAACGTGTTAGACGTGTCAATTTCGTGTTTTTCGTGTGTCATACTAACCTGACCTATTTATTATTCATGTTAATAGGTCATGTTGTTTACAGGTTCATGTTAAAAAATTATTAACTCTAACTGTTAATTATATATCAATTTCTAATTGTGTTTTCGTGTCGTATCAAAATTTACTAACCCTAACTGCTGAACTACCTGGGCGATGAAATTGAATATATTTTTGCTATCGTTGATAGTGAAATTGAAAAAAANTGTTGAACCACCTGGGCGATGAAATTGAATATATTTTTGCTATCATTGATAGTGAAATTGAAAAAAAAAAAAGCAAAAAGCAAAAAAACTGAGTTAGAACATTGGGGTTCCATTGAAATTCATCATTTCAATAATCAAAAGCATGGACCAATCCTTTATCCACCTTACTTGTTCAACTTAGTTTCTCATTTTTAGGTTGTTGTTCTAGGCTCTGGTGTGTCTTAAGTAGTGACAATGGACATATTTGGAGTTGACTTTTTGAGGGAAAAAAAAGTTGTGATTTNTTTTTAGGTTGTTGTTCTAGGCTCTGGTGTGTCTTAAGTAGTGACAATGGACATATTTGGAGTTGACTTTTTGAGGGAAAAAAAAGTTGTGATTTTAAAAGTTTAGTAAAAAATCAGAGTTAAAAAATTCTTTCATAGAAGTTGGTATTCCTACCTTTTATTTTTATTATTAATGTTTTTAAGAAATAAGTATTAATATTGAATAAAATTTTTTGTGGAAAAAATTAAAAAAAAATGAGCTTTGACACAATAGGAGAATTTTTTAAAAGATTTGAACAGATATTTGAGTTTGTTTGTTAGATTGTTTTCTATCAAATCAAGTTTTTTACAAGTGGTGGNAGTTGACTTTTTGAGGGAAAAAAAAGTTGTGATTTTAAAAGTTTAGTAAAAAATCAGAGTTAAAAAATTCTTTCATAGAAGTTGGTATTCCTACCTTTTATTTTTATTATTAATGTTTTTAAGAAATAAGTATTAATATTGAATAAAAATTTTTGTGGAAAAAATTAAAAAAAAATGAGCTTTGACACAATAGGAGAATTTTTTAAAAGATTTGAACAGATATTTGAGTTTGTTTGTTGGATTGTTTTATATCAAATCAAGTTTTTTACAAGTGGTGGTGCTCTAACCAAATAACTTTTGTTTCAATCAATTTTTCAAAAGAGTAACTGAATGACAATTCACCCAGTAGAATATATCATTGCTTAAATTTGACCATTTTCTTAGGTAAACTATCCGAATATATTTGAAAAGAAATTGATTATGCAGAAAGATAAAGAAAACTTTCTTGCAGTGATGTTGATAATTTATTTAGTTCCCACAATTGTCTTGTTTTACTTCAAGTGAAACGAACCCATACATTTATAATCAATTCATTATCTATATCTATCTATATCTATACTATCATAAAATGTCAATAAAGGTAAAAACTTTTAATTCACTAAATTAACCCTAACAAATCAACTAATACCGATACTATTTTTTACTAGAAGTATTAATATTATTTATAATTATGATTGTTAATAGGCTGCTCTAACGTATCTATACTAACAATTTTGAACTCATCATATCCCATACTCAATGATTACACTAACCGATGTAGATTTCTGTGAATTAATACCTTATTTACAATTAATGCATCCGTTACAACTTTGAGCCATTTCTACTTTTAAGTGCAGGAAGAGAGTGTTTCAGGAAGTTCTATCTCAAGTCAACTTTCAACTTTGGTTTTGGTGGTGATGGTGCTGGTTTAGGTAATTTGAGAATATATATCCAATCATATTGTAGCTTTCTCGATCATTTCGGTTGTTCACAGAAGTTTTGCAGGACATGGAAAACATTAGAGACATTGAACCTTTGTTGAACAATGCATAACAGATCCTCGCTAGCCCTCAGGACGAGCAACCATATAAAGAACTATCCGCTGTTGAGTCAGTCTTCTATCAGAGACTCACCTTTGGTTTGGTATGTAAGTCTAAAATCTTTTCCAAATTTATGATTTTACCCATTGACGTACTTGATTTTAACTGAGACTTCCCTCTTGTTCACGCTAATATTGTATAACAATGGCTGGAATTTGTGACTTCTTTCTTACAAAATGTTAGATCCATGACGNTCTATCAGAGACTCACCTTTGGTTAGGTATGTAAGTCTAAAATCTTTTCCAAATTTATGATTTTACCCATTGACGTACTTGATTTTAACTGAGACTTCCCTCTTGTTCACGCTAATATTGTATTACAATGGCTGGAATTTGTGACTTCTTTCTTACAAAATGTTAGATCCATGACGAGTGTGTGCGATTCTCTTCTATGTGCTGTTCTAGGCGTTTGACACAGGAACTACATTTTTTATTTTTTATTTTTTTTGGATTTGGGTTAGGCCTTTCCTAATTTTTGGATTTAATCTTAAAATATTTTCCAAATCTGATGTAGGGTGCTTGAAATGTTTTTCAAATCATATAAATAGTTGTATAAACATTCATCTATAATTGAACATCATCCCAAGACTCTAATTGCAAAACACTATTTTTTTCATCTCTTTACTTAAAAAGTTCTCATCCTTACTTTTTTAATTTTTATTTTTTAATTTTTTTTTACAGAATATCTAGTCTTATGTCAACTTCTCTATCGAGCTTAATGATTGACCACTGTAATTTAAATTGAATTAGAATATTTTTTTAAAGATCTTAAGTTCAATTCCTAAACCACCTATAAGGGTTTCCATCCTCACTTTAATAGTTACATAATTCCACCAAAGATTGAGTAGGCATTATAAATTTTAATTTCTACCATAATCGAGGTTAGGCCTTTCTTTTTCACCTGCGGAATGTCTAGTAATGTTTTTTTTTTTAAGTTCAATGCTAGATTGATCATGTGTGTTTAAACTGCCAAAATTTAAAAAACGCTTTTTTTATGCATCTAAAGGTCTTATAAAAGAGAAAATACTCAACACAGTCGTAATAATATATCATCACTAGCGCTTAATATCACAACAAAACAACAAAAAATCACATCATAGACGGAATTTCCGGCGTACAACTGCCATACTCCTTATTGAATTCCACATGATTGGGCCCTGTGGATATGATGCAACACAGCTACTTGCTTTGAAACTCAATCCGAACATGATCCAAGATGGTTTTCCCAAGAGACTGGAGTTGTTGCTGCTCCACATACTCCTTGTAATTCATTGGACGATATGCAGCGGGATGGTTTTCACTGTCTACCAACTTGGAAGCTGGGCCAACAGTTGCTTCGAAAGAGGGTCCATTAGCCATGGCTATAGATATTCTTGCAACTTTGTTATTCAGAATTGCTCGATGCATGAGAGTCTTGTACTTTCCATTGCTGAAAATCTGGCAAAACACAACTTATACAAATCAACACATTGTGACTAACTCGTACTATGTAGGTAGAGAACAACACATTCGGTGATCATGGGTTATATATAACTTAGAATCGATCAGAGATTAGCGGGAGAAACATTTACCTCAAGCTGATCGGCAGTGTTTACCAGAAAAGAGTTAGGAAGGGGATTGATAGTGACCCACTTTCCATTGTGTTGCACTTGGAGGCCTGGAACATCATTCTGTATAAGGAGGGTGAAGAGGCCATGATCTGAATGAGGTGGCAAACCCATTGCAAGTTCAGGCTGTGGACAAGGTGGATATAGATTGGCAGAAAAGACTTGCGCACTTGAGTCCAAATTCAAGGTTTTTTCCACATAATCGTTGTCCAATCCTAGGCTCTCCGATATTGCTTTGAGTAATTCTCTTACTATTCTCCGGCCACTGTTGCAATACTCCAGTGCAACCTCACTGCAGCAGCCACCACCAAAGAGTCGGAAATTTGAGTAAAAAGTTCTATTCGATATAAAACACTCCTATCGACGAACGCAAATTAAACAGAGGACGAACTCAAAGTCAAATGAAATCAAATATAAATTTAAATAAGGGTGAAATCTAACCATTACAAAAGAAAGTGAAATCTGACCATTAAAATTTTAAATTTTCATTAATTTGATTAAAAACTTGAGAATTCGTTTGAAAGCTGAGCTTGTTTTCCGGGCATTGTTCCGAGATAATGTGAAAATAAGGGGACCAAAATACAGTAAATACTGTTCATTAAAAAAATCGATGAACCAAGAAAAAAAATTGAATAAATATTAATTGGAGTGGATAAAAATTCCTCAAAAATGACTGAATTTAATATTTTTTTTAGCAATAATGTTAGTGGCTAAGTGAATGAGAAGATGTGATGAATATGTGTACCTGAAACCTATAGGTTTGTGAGGAGCGTGAAACTGATCCGGCTGCACAACGAGCTTTACAAAATCTCTCCACAAGAAAATCTTTCCGTTTGAAGTGCTCAAGCTTGTACCGCACCTGATAGGGTCTAAAATGTTCTTTCCTGCAAACTCCTTTTTCTCCTCCTCTGTCAGATTGAAAAATTCATTACTCGCACTGATTATCCCCTTCAAGAGACTCTCTGGTACACCATGATTAACCACCTGAAACCCATCAACCAACACACATACTCATATATATATTCCATGAAGAATACTGTGGTGAAGTTAGAGAAGACGAAATATATACCATGAAGAAGCCCCAATCTTGACAGGCTTTGTCGAGGTCTTGTATGGCTTTGGAGCGTTGTTCAGGAATAGCAGAAGTGAGCAAGGAAAAATCAATGACAGGGATTGAAACTTCATCTTCAAAAACATCGGCTTCATTGGGATTAGTTGGGGTGTAGGCATAGATGGAAGGGATGGTTTTGAGATCAGCTGTTTCAGTTAGTGTTTTGACGCTTGTCACATTCGATGGTTGGACATTAGAAGTTGCCATAGCGAATTGGGTTGGCGCTGCAGTGGCCATTTCACAGAGAAAGAGAGTATGAGAGAGAGTATACGGGAATCTTGTTTTTTTGGTGGACATTTCGTTCTGATAAACATTATTTATACTAGTAGCAATGTACGTCTCGAGAATAAATTTAACACTAATATAATTTAAGAATTTAATAAATTATTATCATGATAATAAAATATATTTAATGATTAATCATAGCGTGGCATTACTTTAATTTTTATGCATGACAAGAGTGACCGCTGTACTGCTCACCTACCCTTCCTTCGAACAAAAAAATTATTCAATTAAATTTGAAAGTTTGAGAGTTAGATAGAAGAAAAAAGCCAGGCGTACGGTTCGGTGGGAAAAAGTTTGGTGATTTCACACAAGCCCCGACCACATTCGTACATTTAGGGGCGTCACCTGAGTAGTTCGATTCGAATTTAATACAAGTTAACCTGTAATGAATTTGAGCAAATTTTGCGTCCGTTGGATTCAACTCAAATATTAAAATGTGATTAAATTGAACTCGAATAATCATAAATATATAAATATATTTAATTAGACTTAATATTTATCTTCACTCTTTAGAGTCAAAATTTTTATTTCATTTCAAATTTTTATCATCGTGTCTCCATCACTCTAAGATCCTCTTCTAACTTGTCACTCCTCCCTCTCTCAATTGTCACTCTTCTGAGTTGTCTCCATCTCTGAGCCTCCCTCCTTCAATCGTTACTCCTTTTTCTCTCACTCACTCTCTCTTCATTTGCGTCTCACCCTTCATCTCAGATCACTTGAAAAAAATTAGATTTACACTTGAAAAAATCAAATCTACATTTCAAAAAATCAATCCAAATTAAGTAATTCAAGGCTAACTCAATTTTTAACTCGAAATCAGTCTGAATTAAGTAACTCGAATTTAACTCGAGTCTACCCGAACTAAATTCAGACAGTACTCAGGTTAAGATAGTGTTAGGATTAGAGTTAAAAATAATATACCTAAGATTGAATTAGAATTGACCTCTCAACTTGTCTATACATCCTTGTGTACATTATCTCGATTTTCGGATCGGGCACGAGATGCGGTCGATCAAGGGCATACAAAAACTTTTCCCATCTTCCAATGCTCCGAAGAAGCCAATCACTTGAGTCATGTGCAAAAATATAACATCCTTAATTATTCAGTTAAAGGGTGGTCTGACAAATCATAAAATTTATATAATAAAGTATCGTATAATTTAAATCTCAAAAATAAGTAAAATAATTTTTTTTTTTATGGGTCTGATCATCTCACAATTATGTCTATTTTAATCTTATGATTAATAATCATTATTAATTTTAGTCCTCCTACCCAAAAATCATGATACATAAAAGACAAATGTGCATCGTAAAGCATACATGGCTAGGACTTGGCCTGCCCTGTTAATCGAGCAATAACTTAGTATCCAAAAAAAAATAATCATTATGTAAAGCATATAAGTGATATAATTTTTTTATGTTAATAAATTCAAATATGTGTTGTAAAAATAAAATATAAATATTTTGCATATCCCACATTTTTATTGACTGAAAAGTTAAAATATGATACGATATTTTGTCATAGTTCTACATTTTGTCTTATAATATGAAAATTTTCAACGCGTCACATTTTTTTCATTAGAAAAGCTAAAATATTGTACCAAAAATATAATTTTTTGGTAATTTAATTAATTCTAAAAAAAAAATTTAATTGAATATAAACTTTAATCATATGTTTTTCTAATGCAAAGCTTTTACTTGAAAAGCTTATAATTTTGACCTATAGGCAGATAATTACAATTCCTATTTGCCAGGAACAGCAGAGGAGCCGGATCCTGGACTTGACTTGTCTGAAGGAAGAAATCCAAATTAACAGCTCGTAATCTTTGTCTCATAGGTGGACTTGACTTTGATAGACCTCAACAACTTCACAAGTCGTGATACAAATCAAACCTTACTACATAAGTTGAAAATGATTCCTGGTTTGAAAGAAAATGTCTTCTTTTTTTTCTGTAGACATGCGCAAAAATAGAGTAGGATAATGAAGGGGGATCACACAGTTTGATTCAGTTAATTGGGTTTTTTTTTTTTAAGGGGGGAGTGAGATTGGTTATAACAATTCTACGCTGACCAGAAAATAAAACTAAACGTAAAGTCCAAATAATGTGACAATGNACTTCACAAGTCGTGATACAAATCAAACCTTACTACATAAGTTGAAAATGATTCCTGGTTTGAAAGAAAATGTCTTTTTTTTTTTCTGTAGACATGCGCAAAAATAGAGTAGGATAATGAAGGGGGATCACACAGTTTGATTCAGTTAATTGGGTTTTTTTTTTTTTAAGGGGGGAGTGAGATTGGGTATAACAATTCTACGCTGACCAGAAAATAAAACTAAACGTAAAGTCCAAATAATGTGACAATTGACATAGTAGGTAAACCTTGAATATGGAATGAACAAAAGTGGAACCAAAAACATCTTTGTTACATAGCCATATCTTTTGGTTCTTATTTTTGGTCTCTCTAGGATTACTGTAGTTAAATATTATTTACACAATTTGATGTAACTAAAGATAGAAGATATTGTATTCATTACAGTTTAACTCCTTATTTGATTTTTTTTTAATTTTATTTAATAGATAGTATAATTGTATACTAATTATAATTTTTTTAAAAAAATTAAATTTTTATTTTTAATTTTATTTCAATAAATGATACAATAGAAAGATTGAAAACTTTATTTTTTTTATTTGTTACATAGTGTNTACTGTAGTTAAATATTATTTACACAATTTGATGTAACTAAAGATAGAAGATATTGTATTCATTACAGTTTAACTCCTTATTTGATTTTTTTTTAATTTTATTTAATAGATAGTATAATTGTATACTAATTATAATTTTTTTAAAAAAATTATATTTTTATTTTTAATTTTATTTCAATAAATGATACAATAGAAAGATTGAAAACTTTATTTTTTTTATTTGTTACATAGTGTATTCAGGTACGAGAAATAACTAATCTATATAATAAAGTACAAGATTGATAAGATAAAAAATAATTTTTACTTTTTATAATTGAGATCGTTTTAAATTTTACTTTAAAATTAATCTCACAGCTAATATCAACTTTTCAAATTTAATAAGGAAAATAGGGCCTCTAAAGATGTTTTTGGGATGACTTTTTAAAAGTGGTTTTTGGACTTATGTTTTCTCATAAACACTTTANACTTTAAAATTAATCTCACAGCTAATATCAACTTTTCAAATTTAATAAGGAAAATAGAGCCTTTAAAGATGTTTTTGGGATGACTTTTTAAAAGTGGTTTTTGGACTTATGTTTTCTCATAAACACTTTAAAAAAAAGTGTTTGGAACATTTTATTTTCATTAGTTGCAAATAAATCAAAAGTAGCTTTACCATTTAAATAAATAAGTAAGTAAAATTAAAAAAAATAACTTTTAGTTCTTGTAAATCATTTCTCTACAAAACATTTCACCACCACCACCACCACCACCATCACCTCATCACCACCCCCACAACCACCACAACTGTCACCCCACCACTACCAATGTCGTCACTTACCACCGATTACTACTATCGTCACCACTCAAAATCATCATCATATCATTCTTATATTTATTATCATAATCACCATCATCCCATCACCACCGCCACCACTCACCACCACCATCGTTGCCCACCGCCATTCACTACCACAACCTACCACCACTCATCGTCACCCTTCATCGCCACCACCCACTGACACCCACTCTCACCACACCTATCACCACCAACAACCACAACTCATTATCGTCCATCGTTGCCACCACCATTCGCCATTACCCACCACCACTTGTCATTGTACACCACCACCACCCTCACCGCCCACCACTATCATTGTCNACACCCACTCTCACCACACCTATCACCACCAACAACCACAACTCATTATCGTCCATCATTGCCACCACCATTCGCCATTACCCACCACCACTTGTCATTGTACACCACCACCACCCTCACCGCCCACCACTATCATTGTTNGTAGGACATGCCAATCAAATAACACCGAGCCACGGAATGAAAAAAACTCCATCACTCAACTGTTGGGTGCTTTTTTGTGATTGAATAATCGTTAATGCTTCCCAGTGGAGGGAAATTCATACCCACTATACCTTCTCAAACACCATTCAAGACATATGCGAAACGAGTTCCATGGGGTCGATGGCTTCAATTTGGTGTTGGCGATTAAAGTTGNCGTCCATCGTTGCCACCACCATTCGCCATTACCCACCACCACTTGTCATTGTACACCACCACCACCCTCACCGCCCACCACTATCATTGTCGTCGCCCCACTACCAGCACTATCACTACCATTGTTGTTACCCATGCCCGTCATTACCATTATCGTCACCCAAAAACCACCAACACCATCACCGTTGCCATCACCACCACAGATGTCCACACCTCTCATAACTATCACCTATCTACTAATTAGTACACCCAAGTAATAGGAATTAGTAGGAACTATTGAATGATTACATAACCCCTACCCATTAATATACTAAATATATTCTTGTTAGTCATTTCTCTTTGCTTATAACACGTTATTAGCATGAATAACTCACGTTTTATTCTTTGTTGTCTCCATTGTAATGCCCTTATATGAGTGTACGTAGTTGGAAGGTCAATTCGAAGATTGTTTCAGAATCCATCCAAAAGTTAAATAACTTTTACTTAAAAATCCATTGATTAACTTGTCCGCTTTTTATGAGCTTAAGAGGGTTATCATTTTCTGAAAGATTTGCCCATCTATTTTTTTTGGGTTTGTCAAATAAATTGATTACATTATAATACTATTGTTTATAATATTATGATATTATTGAATACCAAAAAATCAAGTATAACTGATATTTGATCTTAAAATTCAACCTAATAACTATATACATATAATAAAAAAATATAAATTGAACTTTAGTTCCACAGAGATACAGAAAATTATATATAAGTGTACTACTAATAAATGACTCCACAAAAAATTAGAAGTTAATAATACTAAT